TAAATATATAAAGTGCGATCCAATGCTTAGTAAAAATATAAAAATAAAAATACAGTAGTCCCTCGATAATTTGAAATTCAGGGGACCGAGCTAAAAATGCGATTTTTAGAGGTTTTTGATTTACCGAGTGTTCGAATAATTAGGAGAAAATAAATTAATTCGATTTAAAGAGAGATGAAAAATCTTATGTTATTTTTCACGTGCCGCAATCACTTTTTTTTTGTCTGCGATTGACAAACATTTATACTTTACGGAATCCATGGCCATATTCCGACTATAACGTTTTATTCGATTTCAACAACTGATTAATGTTTATCCATTGCATAGGTTAATCTTATTAAAATTAGTAAAATGGTACGATTAAAGTCTAGATTAGATAGGTAAAGTACGATAATATATTTTAATCGCCGTCATTGTTTCATCATCATTTCACAGTTTCATCAACGAGTACGTCAAATAGATTGTACACAATCTTTAAGCATATGAATATTCATATTATATAATATTATAATTATAATATTCGAATTATAGAGGTTCTGGAAAAAAAATCGAATTTTAGAGTGTGTCTCACCGCCAGACATTTCGAATGAACGAGGGGTTCGGAATACATGTATTTTCTTCTAATTATAGAAGTTTTCTCAGTGGACTAAGCGTTTAGTTCGATTTATGGAATTTTTCGAATTATTGAGTGACTATTGCATTATATCTATTTATGAATTAAAATGAAAACACTTACGAATTGTTGCTTATAACATTTGAGTTGAAAAAAATTAACAATAGAGATGCCAATAAACGTCTATCTTTATCGTCAGTCACTCGACCACCATAATTACATTCACCAATTAAATAAAGTAATGCTTCAAATGGAATTTCTTCATAATCATTTAAAAACATCTAAGAATACATTTTAAATTATTACTAAAGGATGTATAATAAGTTAAATCATTGTATTAATACATTTAACTGCATCACACTGATTTGTAAATCCGAATCGTTAAATTCATAGGGTATATTCCAACCAAGTGGTCCAAATTTTCGACGCTCTTGAACGATTCCATGGAAAAAACATAGTGAAAATAATAAAGTTTTCAAACCAATACGGTTCTTACAACTGAGGTAGAATTGTGGATCATTAATAGGGTCAGTTGTATACGAGCGAAATAAATTTGCACTAAGACCTTTCGGAGCTTCGTTTATCATTTTRATTCCTAGATTTGAATAAAATAAATAACTATGCAATTTAACGATTTTAAATCCTTAATGTTTAATTTACCGTTCTGTAGAATAGAAACAGGGAAATCATCAGATGGATAACTTGTGAGCCAAAGACGGAAAGATGCATGTGTACGACTGGGTATAATTTCGTCATTACAAATGCGATCAAGTTCTTTCATCCAGCTAACAGCCAAATGACAATTTTGTAACACAACCCATTTACCAGTTTCTATGCCCAATTTTATCATATTAGCGGCTATTGGACCCTATAAATACGTTTTACTCCTATTATTATAATACTAATGATATATTCAATCATTAGTATTAATATTACTTGTCCTTGGCCAAGAGATATGGTTATTAAATCAGTTTTCCTAATATTTTTGTCTTCAGAAAATTTTATCAAACTTGACATTGGATCCGTTCCCGCTGATAATATAAAAATCAGTGGACTACAACAGTTTGAATCTTTGAAGGAATCCGCTAAGTCAAACGAYGGAGGTTCGACATATTTCTGACCCATACTACTTTCAACATATTGCTAAATATTTTGAAGCTGATTGTTAAATAATTGTTGGTAATTTCGTAAATAAATAAAATGAAATATATACCTGAATAGCTGGAACTACCTTATCAAAACGAATACACTTTATAATTACAAGTTTTTCAAGACCATCGATATTTTGAAAAGGCTCTGGAATAGGTGTGTCTTGTGGATTATTTGAATCATACCATACGTTCCACTCATCATTTGAATCAATAATTGATTTATAAAACTGATTTAATCTATAAAATGTATATCCAACAAAATCAGATTATTCAAATTTTAATGTAATGTTATAAATTAATAAAATATTATCTAAAACGCGATATGCCCATCTGATATGGCCCATCAGTCAAAATGGGTTAAGTCATTTTTAGTCACTTAAGGCTTCAATGAATTTTTAAACATACCCATTTTTTCGGATTAAAATACATTAAAAACCTTTAATGCCAAAATTTGATTTAGTATCTTTTTACCAGACATCAAAGAATTGATAACAGGTTGATATACGCAAAAAATGGTTTAAACCTACTAACTAACCTATTCGTATTCAAGTATATCAATATATGTGTATATTTAATTAATTCTTAGTTATGGTAAATTATTAACTTAAAATTATTTATCTGTGGGCTATATACGATTAGTCGTGTCKTTTKTCTTTAAACAGGCTATAAAATAAACTAATAAAATACAATTCTGTTTTACCCTAATAATCATTTTTATTTTCCGTTGGCCAATGGTTATTCAAATTTTGATTTACTTTTTAAAATTGTAAAAAAAAAAAAAATGTGCAAATTTGTATATTTTTACAGCAATATATCAATGAATTGTATAGGTTTTTACTCTACCTTATTATACTCTCTAATCTAAATAACTACTAATGATTTTAATATAAAATGAATTTATCACTGTTTACCTTGGTGATTGAGATGCTCGAACAGTTTCAGCCCATGACTTATCACTTAACCACTTAGAAGCTGGATTGGGGTGTTCATTGGTTAATCCAACTCCTTCGGTAAGGAATAATGTAAATAATTCATCATCAATTAAACCCTGTGTAATATTACTATAGTAATGAATATTGCTAAATATTTAACCATGATATAGGATATTATTAATTACCTTAGACCGAAAAATTCCAACTGTTAAAATAAATGAAAAAATCAGTTTGTCTTTTTCAAATAATGATCTACAAACGTTTCGGTAAATGTTATATGTGAAATAATCATTCAAAATCTTTATTCTTTCATTAATGTCGTTTGATTTTTCACTTTGCGCAATAGACTGTCGCACAAATTTAGTAACAATCATCAGTTATTTTTTTTAAATTTATATACTACACAATATTAAATAAAACATGACTTTGGTCGTTAATATTTTCAAATCGAAAAGGTGAGGAAGTATTTCCCAGTTATATTTTAGTCTTGGACGTTCATGTAAATGATAACCTATCTAGCTCAAGAAGTGACTGATAAGTTCAATTCAAATTGACYTAWWTAGGTATACAATTGTTTTAATTATMCCACGGTGACTCAAAAATATAGCGACTAATATCACACCAGAATATATGCTCAAGGTAGTTTGGTTAGTGTTTTAATACCGTCTCTACATTGTTGGCGTTGGKGCGGCGAGAGGATCTTGTTGGTGACTGGGAAGGAAAGTAGCTTGAGGGATAAGCCCCTAAAAATGTTTTAAAGCTCCTCCAATATTAAAATAATAATCATTTATTTTTATATTATTAACTTCCTAATTTTGTAAAAGAATATTTCAGACCTTAATTACCCCAAAGATTCAATTGAATTCGTTTAGTCCCCACCTGTTGGTGGATAATATAATATAATGTATCATGTATTTGTTTATATAATTGACAAAAATTCAGAATCAATTAATTCTTTGTAGAACGCCGATATATTATAATAAATATTAGTTACTTACTTGATAATATAGGTTTATRAACCATGATAATGAATATTGGTACATTGGATCGATATTATTTAGATCAGTGATACAGAAAAATAAAACTGAAGAGTGTTTAGACACAGGAATGTAAACGTTACGGGCTACATCAATTTCTTTTTCAGTTATAATAGACATTTCTTGTTTTAATTGAATTTCTACTGATAGTGTCTGTATAAAGTAGTTATGTTAACGTAATGAAGTTTTCTTACGAATTAAGTACCTATTTAATTTTAAATACTTTTGACGAAGATAAAACTTTTATTGCTGATTCATCCTCCAGAATATTTCCTTCRGACGACGATAGAATGTATAATATCTTGTCTTCAATTTCCTTTAGTAATTTTTTATTATTAGCACTTTCGACTATTAATTCATTTTTTTTTTCTTCCAACTGAGGTCGTTCTTTTGCAACAACAATTCCCAGCAATTGATCTTGAAGCCCTTGTGGCGTAATCATAAAGTTTAATAGTGTTACCTAAGTAACACAAAAGGTTATTTTTAATGACTGAATAACGGTATACAGTGAAGTTATATTTCATTTACAAAACTAAAATATATCCAAATAATAATATTTATTAATCTTAGAAGTTAATTTTATTTATTTRAAAAATTAGAAAAAAAATATGATTGTGAATGTATTTTTAAATTATATTATAAATTGGCAAATTTATCAATACGATATAAAGCTAAATTAAATATATATATATAAATGATGATAAGTTATTTAAAAAGAATTATTGATTAATTTAACCTAACCCTTAGATAAAGTTACCTACTTTAACAGAAATTTCTGGCAAATAATGAGGATTTCGAAGTCGTGTTGTGATGTAAAAYCGAAACGAGGGATTATATTCCAACATATTATCACCAAACTTTAAGTATTCAATTCCACCTTGCTTATAGATATTTTTCGTTAGTACTTGGTCTATGAAACACACCAAAAGTCTATTAATTACATTTCTTATATATTWTTAAATAAATTTTAAATTTTGATTTTAATAAAATTGTATAATATGTATAATATGTTACCAAGTGTAGCATCTATATCTTCTTGTACATTTTCTAAAAGAACTGGCAAACCATGTTCAATGGCTAATTGTATCGAAATCATATAATTTGAATTTGTCAGTTTTATAATAGAAAGATTGTTTGTATTTTCCAAAGCTTTTATCCATTTATTTGCTTGGCCTTGAGGATCAATCATTAGAGGCCATCTCGTACTACTGAATACAATAATTCCATTTTCAATTGAAAAATTATCAGCTGGAAGCCCAAATATATTCCACTCCCGAATTAATACTGGTTCTCCTAATGTGTGTATTAACGAAAACTGTTTTGAACAAGGAATATTTGTTTTCAAACACATTTGGTTCCATTCATCAATAAGTACCTGAACATTAAATTTTTTTGATATAGATATATAATATATATTATACATATGCAAATAATTTTTTTCTCATAATTAAATAKACAATATATAGACTAATTTTACAGTAAAAACATATGATATTAATGAATATAAGTATAGGTACTTGAAATGAATTACTTGAAAAAAGGAAAAACACAACGTTTACACTTTATATCTATTCTAAATATATATATATATAATATTAATATTTTAAAGAATAAAATAAGATAAATACAAATATACATTAATACTAACATTTCTAAAGTCAACAGTAAACGCCCCAAGGTAAGCCACAACACCTGCAGATAACAATACATCACCGATCGCGTTATCCAGAGTTGATTGTAACTCCAAGGCAGTTTGGCTCCATCTATATTTTTCTCCGCTAAGTCCACTAATTAATTGTTCAGCTCGGATCAATTTTTTGGCACATAGTTCAATATTATCTTCTAATTCTGTTTGCTCAGCTGTTTTTTTCGCAAGTTCATCTTGTAATGTTTGAAGCTTGCCCAATACCTCAGCAAGTTCAGCTCTTTTTTCGTTAAGTTTTTCTATTTGAGCGTTATAATCCGATTCCGCTTGATGAAGTTTATCTTGTTTAGGTCCAACAACTTTTATTACTTTATCATAAACATCCAAGGCTCGTATCCATTTACAAAGGCCTTCACACGCATTAGAAACTGATCTGATAGTAATTGGATCGAAGGCTGGATCATTAATATATCTGAAATTTATTCATGCATTTATTTTTGTACACAAAAAGAGATGATTAAATTACTTTTCTCTTATATGTTTCATGATTTCTGGATCTATATTATCTTTGTCATATGTTTTCAAACTTTCTAAAAATTTAGTATCTGAAATAAGTTTTTGAGAAGGTCCCCAATAATCTTCAATCATTTTCCCAGAGCCCTTGGGATCTGGTTTACGTTCAGATTKTATGCCTTTCATAACACAAACTGCCTCCAAGACTAATTTTACACCATGCGGTGGATTTTTCATAGATTTTACTAAGGTAATATCAGCAGGTTTAAGAGTATTTAGAGCTGAAACTGCRGATTCGAGGGCTGGTATGGCTTCAGCTAAATCAGTTTCACACTCATCTTTAATAGCCTGTGATGCTGCAGCAGCCTCATTAGCAACGGCTTCATCGGCACCCACTAACTAATATTATATGGATTGTGAATTTTGGAAAATTATAAATAAAAATWATTTTATTTTAATAATTACTTCTTTTTTGGCTTCAACTTTTACAGTGTCTTGAGCAATTTTAACCAAAAGAGCTTTTGTTTCCAGAGATGTTTCTACGAGTTTTGGTTTTAAAGCTGTAAGTTGATCTTGCATAATAGATACTTGGCCAGCAGCAAAGTCTAATTTTTCTAAACCGGTTTCATATCTACTACGCAATGTTGTGATTTGATCCACCCTCTTCTTGTGTAAATTTTGAAACATTTTAATTAACTCTAAATAGGACGTTGGGGTAACATAGTTATGCCTCTTTAATGCTGAATAAAACCTAAAATATAATACTTTGAGACAATAGTACAAATTTATATGAAATATAAAATTATGAAGTGGAAATTTACTTGGCAGAAGCATCTCTAGCTTTTGTATGAAATTCCTTACAAATTACMACACAAGATGATGCAATATCACTGTTAATAGACATATCTTTTAAATAATATTCTGCAACTTTCTCAAGAGCATCTTCAGGCCAAACTGTAAACCTATAATTAAAAAATATGCTTGTATKGAATGAATTCAATTTTAATTTCTTCATCAATWTATACATATTAGTTTTTAATTATTGAAATAAATTATACCATACCAGTCAATTGTACAACAGTTTATGAGTGAAGGAAACATTCTCAAGCGGTTTCTAAATACATCTCCAATTGGTGACATAGCTAAAGTAAGATGAAGGTTTTCTTTGACTCTTTCTATAAAAAAATTGTATAAAGCGAGAGGTGTTGTTTCAATGTTTTTTTCCTGTAACGAAAAAWWTGTGTTCMTTTTAAATAAAACAGTTGAAAATTAAAAGTTATTATTAGRTTTCGGATATTGTAGCAAAATAAATCCTTAAAAAAGCATTTATTAATTTTATGCTWTAAGAGCAAATTTCAATTACACATMAAATTAAATAAWAAAAATACTATACGTTTATACCTCACTGATTGTCGAWTGATATTTACCGGACAACTAAAGTATTAGAACGTGTTATGAAAATACGCAGGTATAATTCAGATAATTTTCCCTTTCCTTAAGTCGTAAATACAACTATAGATAATTGTAGATAAAACTATTTCAGCACAATAACGATAGTTATTTTATTAGTCATATTATATTATATCATATTATATTATCATATTACTGGTTTTTTCACTGGTTTTATAATTTCTGGTAATAATAATATAGTCCAAGACGTATAATATAATAATATACATAGAAATAAGCTAAGTTTTCAAGAAAAATATGTAAAAATTAAGAAAAAATAACCAAATAGGGGGAAAGCAATAAAAAGCAGATTTTGTGGAAAAAAGCAAAAAAACAGTTTACTTCATTAAAATCAGAACGATTCAAAACGTATTTATATATAAGAATTATATTTCTATCACACTCCCCTCAAAAGAAGCATTTTCTACAAAATCTGAGCCCTAGTTATTATTAATAATATTATATAATTATATACTTTTGTCTAATATTTAAATTTAAAGTCAGGCCTTTGTAACTGAATACAAGTGTTAGCTATTAGGTGTCTAGTAACACAAGTAGTAAGATTGAAAAAAAGAAAAAAAAACTACAGGAAGCAGAGATGCTGGACAATTGAAAAAATTCAAGAGCTGAACTTTCTGGCATGGAACAAATTTTAAATATTGAAAGATTTACTTTCGAAAAAAATTCAAAGAGAAAAAGAACGAGAAGATAATTTTTATTCAATTATTATCAAATGTTTGGTACTCAATTACATTTTACTCAACTACTGAGAATAAATTAGAATGATGAAATGATGATTCATATTCCTCTTATTATTTAAAATACCTGATATAACTTACCAGATTTTGAGCAATATTGGATATTTTATCTAAAATATCAACTCGCTCATCAGATTGATAAAGATTTGGTATATCTCCAGTATTAAGTAACATATTTATATCTTCTACAAAGCTTTCTTCTGCTATTTGATTGTCGGATAAAAAAAATGCTATAGGATTTCCTTCACACCCAGCATATCTTAATATTTTTTTCATATCTTCATTCCATTCATTTTTACCATAATTCCTTCCTATTTCAACCTGATGGAGATATAAATATATTATTATAATAATTGTATATTTTGATGAATATATTTATAGCAGATAATATATAGTATAATAATACTTGAAATATTTTATAATCGGCTATAAATGTAGCCAACTTTGTAGCTGATTGCCTTCCACTGCCACCTATTCCAACTAATAACACATGACCATTGTCTTGTTGTAAGACTCTACTTACACGAGACACGTGTTCAATGGCAAACTTAAACATAACCATTGACAATGGACTTTTAGACATAGTATTGTATTCGTTCAAATAATATTCCATTCGTTTGATCAATTGTTTCTCACTGTGAACTTCATCATAAATTTTATGATCACTATCTGGATCCATGTAGTTTCCATAAAAAAGATTTCGTAAATGATCAGAATTTAAAAAACTCTCTTCAGTTGGCATTAAATCACTAAGATAAACGTCCATTGTTTGTCTCAAACAATTATAAGATGCTGTTTTCATTATTTCAAATAATGCATTACGGTCGTCGTCATGAACTAATCTATCACCGAATACACGCCATGTCTCGTGGACCCATAGACGGAACAGTTTTTCAACGGTTTTACACCGCGATGCTGGTAATAATAATATTCCTTTTATAACTCTTGTAAAATCTCGAAGGTTGAAAGTATAATGAGATTTAGCAGGAGTTGGTAAAAATGTAGTGACTGCTTCTTTATACACAAACAATATGGCTTCTACAACATTCTAAAATCATTTTAGTTAAAATATGTAGTTTTGTCTTCTAAAAGTTTAATTAAATACAATTCCTTGTAATGCGATAGTTTCGGAAAATCCTTTATTAAAATGCCATTTTATAATTTGAGAAAAAATTTTAGACATAGTTTCTTGACTGAATGAATCAATACCAATAGCATTCATATGTCTAGTGAAACGAGTAGTAACTTGGTTTGAACCACCACCAGGAGGTTGAAGTACACCAATAAATAACTTATGATTAGACAAATAAATAATTGTTAATTAGTGACGTTATATTATGTATTATATACGAGTATAATAATAAATATTAAAATAAACCTAACCATGTCGTGTATATCTATTCTTGACTTAGTTTGAAGATCATACCAATGACCATGATCAATCCATTGTCTTAACAATTCTATTGGAGGTTGAGCACCATATTTTTCTGGTAAAGGCATACTTAAATCATCTACAAATAACATACATTTTTTCCCAACAGATGGTCCAAAAACTCCTTTTCTTCGCCTATACAAATTATATTTTGTTGGTTTATAAAGTTCTCTARTACAAGTTATAACAATCGATATACTTTTCTAATTTAGAAATTATAATGTCTTGTACAGTGTTAGCTGCTGTCCGCGCTGAGAAGTTTAGAATATTAGCTAAAAAATTTTCTTTTGGCAAATTTATTAAATAGTCCAATACAATAGCTGACTTTCCAGTACCAGTGGGACCAACAATCAGTAAAGGAATTTCATTTTTTAATAACATTTTAAGAAAGAAATTTTGCTTTGCTGTTTCATCCGTTTCAATGATTAAGTCATTTATCTATACAATGGACAAAGCCAATGTTACTAATCTAAATATTATTTTTAACTTAAATTCTAATAAAAAAATAAAAAAACAATAAATATTAAAAAATATATGTACTCTAGCATCTGGTGATATCATTTTAAATTCCAATTTTTCAGACCATAAGACCCAAGAGCCATTATTTTTATAATCATACACATAGTCATAAACCGTGCCCAAATCTGGAAAGAGGTTTGTTTTTGTTAACCTAAATGTAGCTGGTTTCTGATATTCGTCAATATTTCCAAGAAGAAGTTTCCTTAAAAATGCATCAAATTTATTTCGGCTATCGCCTTTTATTAAAGAACCAAAACTCCAGATCAAACTGAAAATTATTATACATCCCAACACTATGGTTGCGAATCCAACTCCGGTTTCTTCTTTAATCATACATTCTATTAACCTTGTAAAGGACTATAAAAGGCAATAATATAATATATTGGCCGTATATAAATTCATTACTTAAAAACTCTTTAGTATTTACGTTAAACATATGATTTTCAGAAGTATCTAAAAACAAACTACAATGTCTTTGTATAAAATCAAATACAGCTGGTACCATCCATTCGATTAAGTCATCCATCATAATTTGTTGGTCTGGTAAAATTTTAGAACAAAGAGCTTGTTTATACGATAACCAAAAAGACCTCCAACCAAGCTGCTTTGGCTCCACATAAATCATACCACAACGAGATACTGTTGCTGGTGAAGCTTGCTCTAAATTGGCAGGTTCAAATACCATGTTCATTTTATTATTCATCTATACAAAAAAAAAAAAACATTTTAGAAATTATATTGTAAATATGTCAGTGGTAGTCAAACGAGTGGTGGTGGTGGTGGTGGTGGGGTGTATGGAGGGAACAAATCACTCGGAAGATTTTTTTCAATATATAAAAATTTGTACTATAACAAGTATTGGACAAATTAAATTAGTAAAGTTAAGTTACTACTTAATACTACTATTAAAAAATCAATAATTTCATTAAAATATTCTTGTTAGTTAATTTATAAATAAAATTTGTATTTACCATAATTTAAAAAAGTATATTAAGTATAACCA